ATAATAATTTGTAAAGTTGTTCCATTCGTTCAGGATTGAAGGCGCCACTGGACTCCCTGGGTTGTTCTCCTCGATAGTCAACCGAAGCTTGATATCCCCTATTTTTGTTTTGTCTCGGTTTCCAATTTCTCGATTTTCCATGCAATTCCCAACACATGTCTTCTTTATGTCCCGATTTATGACAATGTTCACACCAGGTTCACCGTTTTTGCTGTCTTGGATCGGGCCTATTTGCTGCTCCTATTGAATAAAGGCCCATAGTATCCGGCCCAACTGCAGAATTTTTTTCCAAGTCATTTAAACTGTGTACACCTCTTTTAAGTCCAGGCCCAGCATTTAGAGGCCCATTATTAAAATACACAGGCCTTAAAGGCCTAAAATCAGAAGACCCAGACCGTTTGGACGCTAGGGCAGAGCGTTCGGTCCTAGGTGAATCCGACGTTCCACCGCCGGCGTCCATCATGATTTTTCGCTGATTTTCTTCGCGTCTTACCTCTGCAAAAACTTACCTCGTCGACGGTAAAGGCTTTCTACCCAGAATTCGGCCCCTAACATCATCAAGTTCTAGGTGCAACCCAGCTAAGAATTCAAAAACCCACTCGTTTTTGAGCTTTTTCTTGAATCACGCACTGTCTCCCGTGCACTCCCACTCTTCTTCCGAGATCAAGTCAAGTTCTTGCCACAAGGTTGTCATCTCCAGGTAATACTCCGTGACATCTCGTTCACCTTGTCGAGTTTGCCAAAGTATGGTTTTGATTTCAAAAATCTGGGACGAGTTTTCTGAATCTGAATATGTCTCTTTCACTGCATCCCACACGTCCTTCGCCGTCGGTAGGAACAGATATGTCTTCTCAGTGGATGGCTTTATCGAGTTTACTAGCCAAACAGTCACCATGGAGTTCTCTAACCTCCATTTTTGAAGAGAGACATTGTTGGTTGAGGCTGGCTTCGTCGTTTCACCCGTGAGGTAACCTCATTTTCCATCAATTATCAGTTTGATCGACTGAGCCCATTCACGAAAATTCTTCTCGTTTAGTTTTTCGACTGTTAGTTGAAACGAAGAATTTTTCCTTGTACCTACGGCAGAGGGACTTTCAGTCTTGCCGTGGAGAGGGTCAGAGGTTGTGGATTCTGACATGACTTTGTTAGGTTAAGGAAAGAACTCACGGCTCTGATACCATGAAGAGAAAATTGAATATTTCTTCTTATTAATTTACAACCCAATACACCTACTTATAGTACAATGAAAGGAGAAATATAAGGAAAGAAATAATTCTACAAT